CTGAAGCTCGCCAAAGAACGCAGTATAAGAAATGTGAGATCAAGCTTCTTCTCCTAGAGGGTGGTGTCAGAGTCAGTATGGAACGGCCTTCCGGACAGCGTCGTAACTGCCCCCTCTGTGAGCGCTTTCAAGAGCAGGCTTGACAGTTGCTGGGCGGACCGACCGGGCCTTTTCGATCCTGAGTGCTACCATTAGCCTTTCAGTTTGCAGTCACCTGGGGTGCACCATCTGCGCGTGTACATAATGGGGGTGGCTATGCTGAGGGCAAACAAGGCGGGTGAACAGGCTTGAGTGCCTACTACACCGACAATTCAATTCAATTCAATGATAATCTCTTGTAGATATGATTAGCTTTCCAGGGCTTCAAGCCTTTTCGCCTGTGATGTCAACCCGGCAAGCCAAGTGGCAGCTGGCTCAGCCTCCTGGCTGCAAGCCTGCAACTGCAAGCCTCAAGCCTGCACTGGCACTGCTGCAGTGCTGCTGCTGCTGTGCTGCAGTTACCGCAACTTACCCGAAGGATGGAATTCTATAAATACTTGTTCTGCTTTTTTATAGCTATATTCACTAGACACTAATCACTATCAAATCAATACAGCCTGGCAAGTGGCAACAGGCTAACACTAACAGGCAACTTGCTGTTCCAAAATATTACCTAATTTATATAATTTAAATTATTAAAGTCTAATTTCATGTTTTTAGATCCAATATGATATATTTATAAAATGTGTTCTTTTTGCATTGTTAGTGAATGTGCTGAATCATGGTCCAGGATTAAAATTTTCTTACTTAAATAATTATTACTGGAATCTTGTAGCTTTAAACTCTCAATGTAACAAAGATAGAAGTCATAGAACAAAAAGTATTGTTAGCTTTCTTTATTTTATGTTTAAACTGCACTTTAAGGCACAGTTTTATGGATAGAGAAAAAGCAAAAGCCAATCACATAATTTTAGATTTGTATTTTGTCACTTCACTATGTTGCAACTTGCAAGCAGGGCTGGAAAGTCCTATTTTTTTCTGAAATATCGTGGCTCACCTGGCTCTAATGTCATATAGGGTAAACGCGGTATATTCCAACATCGTGGGTAATTCTGACACATCTCTAGTTTTTCCTTTATATTAAGCTTTGTTTTAGTTCCATCAACTTCCATGCGCTCGTTGATGGTTGAAATAGTGACGTCATACATTTGCGCGTCAAACTACTGACAAAACACTAGGTCTGGGCTCTCTAGCGGGAAAATGTTGAGATCCAAAGAGAGACAGTGCATGCCACCCAATGAGATCATCGAAAAATGGGTCAAAGTTGACAGTTGACCTTGCTCTATCAAATAGTAATAAACTGTTTGTGTAGAAAGAATATTATGGTTTGAGACTTTTGAATATGTCTGAATATATTAGGAATCCTTTAAGTATACTTGTATTTGCTGATTTCAAGTGGTAAATAAATTAGATGATTAATTTGAAAAACAGATTTAGACACATAAAAACTAATTCCAACACAACTTGAATTGGACACACACAGCTCGTTCCAAGCTGTGTGCAAAAATTAAAATTTTCTTAATTAAAAGCTTAATAACTGTTGATTAAAAGCCTAATTAAGTAGTGCTCAATATTCAATAGTGTTCTAATTCAAAGCCGTGTCGTATTCCAATACAGCTCACACAGCGATCAGAATTCGAACACGTGGATGTCGGAATTACGTATTGGTATAATTTTAAGCGCGGTCGGAATACGTCTCACCACGTGCCAACTATAGTCTCACAGTGTTGGAATATAGGGATTTGGTAGGTTTGCATTCTAAAGGCTTTTAATAGTTTTAAATAAATATGGCAACATTTTGTGACATTTCATTGTAGCTGGCGCGTAGTCGTAGTGAGGTGTTTTGAGAGTCATGTATAGCAAACAGAACTCAAGTAACGCTTACGGTTATTTTTTCATAGTTTTTCATTTCTCGATGCGTCCTTAATGTGTCGGAATATACCGCGTTTACCCTAATTTCAGTAGGTATGAAATCTTGTGGCTCTAAGGTCATGAATTTTTGTTTGATTGAAAAATTGTGGTTTGCACTCCGCAAACATGTTGTTTCCAACTTCCGCAATCTGCAATACTTTGACAATCTTGCCAAAATATCCTGCACAACATAACAACAACAAGTCAATATAGAATGTTTCCTTAAAGATAGCATAGTTACAGTCACGTCAGAGTAGTCAGACTGCATTATCACCTGATCAGTGGCCACTTAAGTGACAACAAATGTTAGTGTTGTCTGTGTTGACTGTTTTTAGGGTAAAATTAATAAATTCTAGATTAGGGGTAACACATGTCACATAGGTACCGTACATGGGATGTTGTAAAAAGTTTGTGGCTGTGACTTGTAAATGGTTTTTAAGGCCAAGGTATGGAATTCATGGCTCAAGGAAATTAAATCATGGCTCAAAAAAATGGAATCATGACTGGCAAATCCATAAAACCATGGCTTGAAAAATTTAGTCTTGGCTTGCCAAGTATATATACCTATTTCATGCCTGTTGCAAGGAATTTAAAAAGAACAGCACTAAATGGCCTTAATGCCATTGTAGAAAATTAGGCTGATTGGCTGAAGCCACCCATAAATAGGGCAAAAATGCCTGTAAATTTGACCAATTTTTACCTGTTATCATTCTTATGGTCTTTTGCTAATTTCATCTGTGGAAAATAAGGAAAGTGGCCTATTTTTACCAAGATTTTTTCAAATCACTTGTGAAACCATTGTTTTTCACTCACTGATGGTTTTTGCCCATGATTTTAGGAAACTTCTATGACCAATATTCCCAATAGACTTGAAGGTGAAGGGAACCAAATATAAATCAATTACTGCAAAAAAATGCATGAATTTGCATGGATATATATTTCTGAAGTGTTATTCAAAATAATATTTTCTGCAAAATTTATAATTTTATTCAAATTTTTCATAATAAGAAATTTCAAAATTTTTCAAATATTGAAATCAATATTTTAGGGTCTGAATTTTGATTTCTTTACTTCCACTTTCTGGCAGATAGTTGCAGTAAGGACTAAGGATGTTACCAAAATCTAAGGCTCAAAATAATGCAATCTCTTCTAACCAACTAAAATGTTTTGAACAATTTGAGTCAATGGAATCTGCTACTCATAACAATAAGCATTTCAATTTTGCAATCAAGTAAGTTGATATTGAGCAAGCAAGTAGTTGATATTTATATATATACCTTAATACCTACATCATTTTATGTGTCAATTCAAATATACCAAAAAACACAAAAAATACCATCTAATGGGGTACTAAGGGACATGCGAAGTAAATCAGCACAGTCCTCCACCAGTTACTGGTAGAGGATTATGCTGATTTACTCCGCATGTCCCTTATTACCCCATTGCACTGGCCTGATGTGAAGCACTGGCCCGATGTCCTCAAGTGTGAAGCACTCTGGTTGTCCTGGTGGTCCTAAATGACAAACCACTTCCTCGAATTCCACCATTTCTGCCACAGAAGAGAATTTTTATTACATTTACCTCACTCAGCGAAAAAATTTCACTTAACAAAAAATAAATTCATTGTCTGTCATCACAAAATTGTGCATAGAATGTCATAGATAGAATTGTTCACTGGGCAACATAGAATGAAAATTAATAAACCTAAACTATGATTTATTTCTCCAAGAAATATGATGGTTGTCACTAAAATATTCATTTCTATGTCAGGTATGTTTTTACAATCTTTTTTTGCTATAGTGAATTCACTTGACACAATTAAAATGGTGTGAAATTACAAGCCATCCTGTAAGCTTACAGATACAGAAGAAATGCTATATGGCTGCTGGTATGAAGCTTGCAGTGGACAAGGTTGTTGCCAACACTCAATTGCATGTCCATATGGTAATATCACATCAATAATCGGGTAATTTCTGGATATGGGAATATCATATCAATAAAGGAAAAACAAGTACAAATCATAGAAAATGTTATTTATTCTACATCTACTACATCATATACAAAGGAAGAGAAGGACTTCAGAGTACTGTTAGTAATGGATGAGTATACACTCTGCATGCTTCAAATGTTTTAAAATTAAGTTTTATTTCAAGTGTCCCAAATTACCCAGTTCCCAGGGGTAATCCAGGATGCTTTTATTTTGCATCTGGCACCTTACAAATAACATATGGAATTTTGTTGGAGATCCATATAATAGCCCTTGCAAACAACTTTAAAATGAGCTCAGGCTTTTTATGAAATGTTTCATGGTAAGAAGTTATTAATGAAAGATGCTCAAAATTGTCCCTTATTACCCCATTTTATGGTACTACAAAAAAATATATTCTTACTTGAATGACAGTGGTAGTGAACTATGCATAAATGCTATTGTTCTTGTCAAGATAGAGTATAGAAATTAAATTCTTTGCTAGTCAGCAAAAAGCTTAGCCTTAGACATCTGTAAATCCTAAATTATTTGGCTGTATAAGCATCTTTTTGGTCTATTAATTTTTTTTACCTTATGAACAATGTTAAGGCCTCTTGTTTGCAAATAGTTTCATCCCTTAAATATGGTTAGTGAAGGTGTAGTCTGGAACAAAGTGAATTCAGTAGCCAGAACATTTCTAGACTTGCTACCATACAGTCTTAAACTTTGTACTATCATCTTGTTTTGTCATTTTGTACCATCTCGTTTTGGTGCCTAGTATCCTGAGAGTTTATCCACTTGCCTGATGACTTAGTGAGCATTACAAGCAGGACATGTCTTTGTATGCTGTCTTGTTGCTTGCATTATATTTGGATCACAATTTGTATTAAAACACAATTTTTAGAATTATCTTCATCATTTGCAGGAACTCAATACCCTATTCATTGTATCAGATAAAATATTATGTAATATGATTTTACTCCATTTGTATTTGTCACAAAATTGCCAAATTTTATTCATGTTCTTTCCTTAGTTGAAATGGTGCACAATTCATTTAAAAATATCATCCAATATTAAAGTTGGTAGTGAAAATCTCTGCAGATTGTTAACCCTCATCTCAATTACAGAATTATTTTGAATTTTAGCAGTTCTAATACACTCATAGATCATTTTTATTGTGCAATGAAAGAGGCAGATTGTAATTTTAAAAATGTAAAGTCTTATTATTTGCTGGAGCCTCATTTAACCATGTTTCAAATTTTTGTAATCACTTCAAGACTTTGTTGAATCAAGCTTGGCCACCTCATTTAACCAAGTCCTGACTGAAAACTAAATCATGTGAGTACCACGATGTATACCTACATTCTAAAATAAGATAAATCCATCATCCAATGCTTTCTATATGAATGTAGATGCATCAGTTTTTTTTTTGTGTTTTCAAAATTTTATAAGGACTGATAATTTTTAATTTTCATTTATTTTTTAAGTGTTTTCATTTACAGTTGATGCACTCCGACTAAATATATTACCATGGCTTTGGTGACAACTCTGCGTTGTCGGGTACGAGGTCGTTTGCCTGCTCGATTTGTACAGAAGAGGAAAGCCAAAAGCAACTGCTTCAACAGACAGCGGGTTGGTCATTTCCCCATCATGCTAATGGAACCTGAACCAAAGGCAAGCGTACATCTCTAAATGTATCTTTCACTAATGTGTCTTTCATTTGTATTCTATAATCTACTTAAACTAATTAACTAATTGAAGTCAAAATGTGAAAGTAGTTATCTTTAAGTGTCATTTGAAAGATAAAAAGTGTGAATATCTCCCAGCAAAACTCTGCCACAAACCGCTGAGTCTTGAGATTTGTGTATTCAAATTTTGGTTGTTATTTTGTTCCACAGATTGATGATTTCATGCTATATAGTGAGCCAGATGAGGATGAAGAAGAAGAGCTTGATGCCCAAGCAATGGCGGCTGCAGCTGCTGCTGAGCATGCTGCTGAAGCGGCTAGTCGAATCAGCAGTGATATTGAAGAGGAGGACGAAGCTTCTGATGACACAGAGAGAGACGACAGCGTTGACGTTCCTCCTGCTCCTCGCAGAAATCAGAGGCTTCCTGCTGTGCTAGAACGTGGTGCTGCCAGTACTGCACCTCCTAAGCCATTCAGGCAGGTTTGTCCCAAGTTTTTTGAGCTCTAGGCATAATTGCTATGGTTTATGACGTTCTAAATCACCAAAAGATTCTGATGTGGTGACCATTAAAGTGACCAAGTGATTGGAGGTATCAGGTAGTATACGGTAATGCTTCTAATATTGATAATATCATGCTCATTACTCGTCAGGGATACCCGCTTGTGAGATACAACTTGGCGACATTCTTCATTCATGTAAGTCACATATAACACTTGCAACATTTGTTTAAAATTTCTGCTTCGAGTCAAATCGTAGGGCCATATTTTCTTGACAATGTCTTAAGACAAATCTCTTCTTCATTGTTTATAAAATGGAGGCCACTTGACAGAGATGTCTGCCAGTGAGCTACAACGTCGCTGACTACACTCTTACGCGTTCGCTGAGCCTAAGTCGTCACGAATCTTTGCACGTGAGCGCCGAGTACAGCACTCGACACATGCTCACCTCGGGAATGTTCAGGGAGCTGCCCGTATCCCTGATACCACCTCCCCCGCAGCCGCAGCAACCTAATGCTGACCCAACTGCTGCTCGTCGCAACAGCATTGTGGATAAGGTGCGATAAGCGTTTCTAGTTCGATAAATATATGCTTTTTAAGTTTTTTAAGGTGTATTTAATTTTATTTTCTATGAGGCAAGAATCTTGAAACTCTTTAATTTGCGAACCTAATTTTCTTGTCATTCTTCCAGGTATTTTGTTCGCAGTGGTTGAGTAGCAGCAAGATTATCATGGGCACGAAATGCAACAGAATCAAAGTGTATGATTCCAAAACGTGTTCAATTTTAGACATTCCACGTTTGTGTCCGCCTGTACCCGAACTTTCACCTACTGTCAATCCCCACGGTGTTTATGCCATTGAAATTAATCCGTCACGGACCCTTCTCGCGACCGTGACGCAAGGCGGCCGTAACGTCGCTGTTTATAGACTACCAGATCTTGCACCTTTTTATTACGGACACAAGTCACACACTGACGGTATTTTAGATCTATGTTGGCTTGACGACAACTTCCTGGTCTCAGGAGGTATGGACCGGAGAATGGCACTCTGGAGAATAGATGACTACGACCATAGAACTGTATTCCTAGATTCCCTCGATGACGATCGCCCAGAACTCGAAGTTCCACCGTTACAAGCGATTGCACCCCTTAGAATTAAGAAATGTTTCGGGGCCGACAAAGTACGTGGTATCATATTCAACCAAAGAAATAACGAGATTGTTGCACTCTCTACCAACGCGTATCTGCATATTTGGAGCCCAGAAAGATTTTATCAGAAGATGTCTCGGAAGTTGCCGCACGCCATGGAAAACGTGTGCCTCACACAAATGAAGGATTCCTCGCTTTACGCTGTCGGCTCCAAATCTCATTTCACTCTACTCGACCCCAGAACTCTGCATTATGTTAAAAAGGTAAGAAAGTCCGTTTCTTGTGAAGGATGAAAATCGAAACTTAGCATTAAGCAAGTAAATTTTCACCCGCAGCAACGTTTTGATTGGGTCAAGTCAATGTGAGACAATTCTTGGTGAAGGTTCTCTCATTCGCGATCAGATTCTTTAGATATCTGTTCCTTTCGAATATTTCTTTTATTAAAAAAAACGTGGTTATTGCAATTTATGATTCAGTTTTTATTTTTCGATTCTCGTCGCATCTAAATAAAATTGTTCCACGTAGACTCGAGTATTACATGAATTTCTCAAAACACACATTTCTGTGGACACTACGAATTTATTCAGCATGCTGCAAATTATTCTTCGTTGAAGGCAGTGTGAAATAATTATTGGCATTACCATTAAGGTGAGCGCACGCATCAACGGATGCAGCGTCAAGTCCCTGAGCTTCCACCACGACATCTTGACGGTGGGCACGGCCGTGGGCGCCATCCTCTTCTACGACATGCGTGCTGGCAAATACATGGAGAGCACCATGAACAGGCGAGTCGTCTGGTCCTCGTCTCTGTCTCTCTATACTGGTAATTTTTTAAGCGCTATGCTGATCGATTTTTGCTTCTTGTCGTCTTTGTTTGGATTTTGACTCGGTGCTGTATTCATTTTAAACGATTTTTGCTATTTGTCGTCTTTGTTTGGATTTTGACTCGATGCTGTATTCATTAAAATTAATTTGGTGTCTGAAGAGGACTCTTATTTGCTAGTTTTATCATGTCATCTAAACGTTTTTTCTTACCTGTAGTGGTCGGGCGGTAATGCTGAAGTGCTCGCGAGGCTTCGTGCACCTGGAGGAGGCGGCGATGGAGATGCCCAACATAGACTACTCCCCCACCGTCTACACCCACTGCTACGATCAATCCGGCACGCGTCTTTTCGCTGCTGGGGGGCCGCTGTCCGTCACCGTACGTGGTCATTACGCTGCTATATGGCGGTAGCACTCGAGTGCGCCGGGTCCTGCAACTCTGAAAACTTCCAATAAGCTGACATATAAAGTTAGACTGACACATAGTCTGTTATACTGATACATATTAAGTTAAAGTATTACTGAGTAGAAGGTTACTGAGTGGGTGTTCAACCAAAGGTCGTTGGGCTACTAGTATTTTTAAACAGTAGTTTTAACGATTTTGTAAGTTGGTTCATGCTTCATGCATGTTTTATTTGCGCTAACATTCGTTGGATAGTGTTTATACATGAGACGGACTGGAGTAAAACTAGTATTATACATATGACTCTGAGTCGGAGTAGTTTCAAATTTTTTATTAACTTCCTTATTTTCGATAACAGTTGATAATGTTCTTCAATGGAATTTTCAGTTGAGGATTTTTACAGTTTTAATTCATTTTGTATCGTTTCTTTTTTACCTTCTGATAATTCTTCGTTGCCATGCGGTTGGCTCTGAGAAATTTACGTTTCTGCTGGCCTGTTGGTGATTGGTGCAATTTGCTTCTATGAACCCTCATAGAGCTTAAATATTTTCAGTCGGGTTAACGCAAACCATATGAAAAATAAAATGTATTTTGTTTCATAGTTCCATTCTTATGCGGATTATAGTGAAGTTATAATTGCTGATTGTTTCCATGATCGAGATGGGATTTATTCCTCTGATAATTCGTAAGCGGTTAGTGTTCGCGCCCGAAGCAGTTTTCTTAAAGAATAAGTTTCAACTGAAGTTGGCGTAACAGGTGTTGACTTAAATAGTTATAATTTCTCATACGTTTTAAAAATTTTATTTTAATTTCTTTAAATTGTATTTTATTATTTCTCTGCAAATGCTTTATTGACTGTGCGTTGACTCAGAATCTCAGTTTTTAATTGCTTGAGGTTCGAGGGTTTACCTGAGGCAGTTGCTCATTTCTATGATTTAAATTATTTCTGTTCCTGCATATTCTCTTGAATTTTTTTTTACAAACAATAGTTCGTTTTTCGAGTAATCAGAGCTTTATATGTAAGAAAAAAGTCGCGTGGATTTAAAATTGTAGCTTATTACTCAAATATATGTTATAAGTTTGAAGTACAAAATGTTTTGGACATTCATAGACCGTTAATGGAGACCATACAATTTGTAGCCTCCTAATGACGGTCGATTTTGAGAAGCAATGAGATATTTTTAGGATTGAAATTTTATTTCTCTTACATTTACATTATTCTCTTACATTATTGTGATGTCAACAAATTCAAATTTTATTTCGTGAGAGCTAAAATTATAATGTCTAGTTCTTTAACTTTGAACCTTCCCTATGAGGTTACTTAGATACGTGAACGGTTTGACATACTGGAGCGGTTTACGGTTACACACTTGAACGGGTTTTCAATCATTTTCATAAACAGCTGGATCATCGAAATTAAACCTCGCGTGATACTCAATCTTCAACTGTAATTTTATTTCGTTGTCACGTCAAATCTACATATGGTCTCGTTAATTATTTTGCAACCGTCCTCATATGACATATGACGTTAGTTCTTATTTCCCCCAGACGTTCGGGTATTAATTTTAGTCAAATTCATTTGTACGATTTCTTTCTGCGAAACTTTTGTTTACAGTGCGCGAACATTGTAACCTTCTATTATATCCAGTAATCATGCTAGACATTGTTAAGTTACATATAACTGGACAAAGCATCGATATGATGAGAATGCCATACCACTTTTAATTTCCACTGCTTCTGAAAAAATTCACTTGGGATGATGAAGCCACGCAGACTCGTCTCTCTGATTGCAATCTCTGGAATTGTTCTAGTCTGAGATGATGATGTACTATGTCGAGATTTAAACGCAAGCATGGTCACAGAAATTTTGTCTAGTTTCATTAACTTTGGCGCTTTTTTTTAGTTTCGTGTTATAATGAAGCTGATGCAAATGCCTTAAACATATATTAGCACGGATATGAGTATAATGGGAGACATGTTATATTCCAATGCAATGACAGTAATTGCTTAGTCTGTATATGAAACAATGTTTCATTGTTTTCTAGCCGTGCTCCACGATAACTTATACCATCTGTTTGTTTGCAAACCTCGGTTCAACAGTGGTCAGGATTTCATCTCTGCATGTAAACATTCGGGACGAGAAAATTATATAACGACTGATGTGGAATCACTGATTTCTTCACTTTAAAATGTAAGAATTGCGAGTTTTTTCCTATCAAATGACATCAACGGTATAAAAAAATGAACTAGATTCAAATTAAAAATGGAATTAATCTCATTAATAAGAATTTATATATAAATTAGCTCTGTTGACTCAATTTTTTTGTTTCCACTTTGATAAACATAGAAAACAGTGCAATTCCCAGGAGTTGCTACAGCGTAAATCAGATGTAAAATCAGAAGTAGTTAGTTACTTAGTTTAGTGGCCAAATGTTTACTAGCGCTTCAGCTATTTAGCTATCTCGCACCGAAAGTCAAGATGAACATCACCATAACCCCACAACTGAGATCTGCAGTCAGACACCGCGAGCTCAACGGTGGGGCGCTCAGGAACAATCCCCCTAGGAACGCGAAATCCCATAGGACTTCTGACGAGCACAGACACCCGTCAGAAGTCCCCCCTGAGGGGTGAAACGAAGCAAATAAATGACATTGATTGAATAATTACTCTCGTAACCCAATTCGCAGTACCCTAAAACAGGTTGTCTTGCACGAGGTTCGACGCAATTAAGAGGAGGTGCGTGTTGGAGGCAAGCACTGCACAAATTTGCAAATGTTCAATGTTTATTTCCGTGGGTAAGCATCCTATAGGATATATATAATATTTTGTAGACTTTGTTCTGAAACCTATCGAACCGTAAGTCCACAGCCACAGCTCGAACTTCGTCTCACTTTACGAACATCATCATGGCCGTTCTCCCAACGCTTGCAATTCCACTCTGGCCTAATCCAAATTCACCGGGCCCCACCTTTTGGTTATAAGCTGCCAGAATGCGTATATGTAGAGCCATGATAGGTTTATATTTTTGAAGTGGTGCACGGCGTGAGCTGGTATACATATGAAACTGTCGTTTACAATTTAAATGAAGTGAGCTGGTTTACGTGTGAAACACGTTTACAATCGAGCAGCAGGGAAACGAGTTGCGCGCGTAAAGATTTGTAGAAAAAGTTGCGCGTTGTAAAATCAAGCTTTACTCTGGACGTTGCTATTCAAAAATTATCTGCAGTTTTTCTGCCTTAGAAGTTGGAAATTTTGTATTTAGCGAGCAATTGCCCTGTTTCTTTCTTATTTATTCTTAGAGGAGCACTGGAAACTGGTCCATACAGCCTCTTACCTAAACTGGGTATAGTTAATGCCTATTAGTCATATAACATCTGAAAATCAAAATCTGAAAAAAGAGAGAGAAAGAAAACACAGACACACACACAAACAAAATAAAAAAAAACTAGAAGAATAATAACAGCGAAAAGAACAACAAATGGAAAACAAATTGGAGAGAGAAACGAATGAAAAATTGCCCTGTTTGAATGTTTTGGGCGGGAAAAAGTAAACAGAAAGTGTCTGTTAATCGTACACAGAAAATACCCGATCACAGAAAGAAAGAAAGTTTTGAAATAAAACTTTCACCCCTAGTCATAATTACCATGAAACCGGGACAAAATCACTATTTACACAAGATTACTTGCCTGACTGCCTTCGGAACTTCGTAAGGAAAGATTCAGCCCATTTTATTACATAAAATTTTCGGCACACTTTACTCCAAAATTCCTGATAGCCAGAAAAAACTGAATTAAGGATTTGATTCCACCGCACGAGTATCCACCAGAATCTTGCATGAAGCCGGGGTTCGGTTCACCTTGATAGTTGCCTGTTTTCAGAATCTTCCACAGCATTTTAAAGTTTTCATGATGTGATGGAAATTTTCCTGATGTCTATTACCCAATGCTGAAAGATTTGTAGGAAAAGGTTGCGGCGGGAAAGAAGAAAACAATGTTGAGTGACACACGGCACTCAGTATCCTCGTCAGACCCAAGCGGCTCTTCAATATCTTGGTATTTGTTTCGGACGTAGCAGTCCCAGGCCACGATGGATCGCCGCCTCTGATTATCGTTCATTCGCCCTCATTCGGGCCAGCTGATGCACGATGCTGTTGCTTGCTTCTCGCCGCTGGTAGTGTTGCAGAGGATGCCGATCTGGGATTGTGCCCAGGATCAGGAACACGTCCAGTTGTCTCTTGAAGGTCTCCAAGGTGAACTGTAAACGAAGTTTACGCTTCACCATCTGGTAATTTCTGGTAATTTGGACCATCTGGTAATTTCATCAAGTGATAAGCAATTTTTTCAATTGATGATTTTAATCGAACTACAGTCTAAAGTGAATTTTATTGCAGACGGAGTCAATATATGAGATAAAGATATTTCAACTGTTTTGTTTGACGTTATGTCGTGCCCAAGTTATTAATACATTTCTGCCTATTGCGTAAAAACAGTATTTGTTTACGATGAATTAAATTTCGACGAGACGAGTCACGTCTCGGAGACTGACATTGAGTTAAGACGAATTAGAACATTTTATGTAGAACAAAAGCAGAAATTGCATTTTGACGATAGGAAAGTTATTTATTTCCTTCTTTTCCTTCTTAGGTTGCTTCTGTGTTATATAAAATTTATAAGCAGGTAAGATAAAATTTCACAAAGGATATCCTTTTATTTCAACAGACGAGGATCGATGTAAGTTAAAAAATATATCTTAGTGACTCGGTGGATAAAGTGACTGCTAAATGATTACAAATAAGAGATTTTAAGGATAGAAATCTAAGGGAAGCCTACCGAAGACAGCTCAAAATATTCAAAGCAGAAGGATGTCAAGGATCGGTTACGGATAGCAGGTTCCATTCACGGCTGATTGGTGGATGTCCGGAGAGATCCAAGGCATTCGATTCAGGGCTTATTGGTGTACAAAATTTGTGGTGCACGGCTGCGCTCCCAAATCTAACACTCTCAATCGCAGCAGCTGAGCTATAGCTAGCAGAACGCCACCGACCGACATCGTGACACATACCATACGTCATGTCATGGTTGAACTATATACATGCGTCGCGTCACATAAAGTCGGATCAATTTCATCTTCATCATTAATTCATTCGTGCGCAACAAATCGGGCCTAGTGTTAACATCTTGCTGTTAGAGTCAACCCTTTGTTTGTGCGCGCGATTGCTGATATACTGGCTCATTTTGTCGCCACGCGGTGAGGCCCTCATTGAGTGAGTCACTGTGGGTATCGCGTCATGAAGAAAGATCCTTTTTGTAGTCGGAAATTATTGGTGGCAGCGCCAGCCAGCTGCCAGCGCGCGAGACTCAGTTGAGCCATAGCGCCCGTGGGTAGAGGGTTGGTGCGACAATTGCTTGCGAGTTCTTAGTGCCCTCAGTGGTGCGCCCATCCGTTTACTGCTGCCGCCTGCCAGTGCTCTAGTCGCCATCTATCTAACAAAAACAGCAGCCGCTCACACCGCTTGTTCGTTGACAGGACGCTCGTATGAGACCCTCATCTATCCTTCTTGCGCGTTTGCTCCTGGAATGCTCCATAATTGGATTAACACATCGTTGAGAGACTTGACGAATTTATTTTTAGGCTTTGCAAGTTTTCGAACATACGTGATTCCCAAAAGTTTTTGTTTGGCACATTCTTGAAACTTTCACTCAATTTTTTCATGGAGTTGGTAACCAACCGCATTTACGAGCTGAAATCTAGAATTCTAAAGTTTTACGCCCGAGGGCGCCTATCTTTCTTTCTCTGTCAATCTTGAGCAGATTAAAATTAGGATTATAGGTAGCATTGCATAACTTATACTAACTCATTCACGGTCATTGATATCGATGCGCCGCCGCAAGCATGGTAATTTTATAATCGGCTTCCTTTTTTATTAAAACGATAAAACCTCTGGCAAGCTTTTCCAGGATGAGCTTATTGATTTTAATTATTAAAACATCATAATTACCTACTACTTAAATTAATCTTTAATAATATTGGCTTAACTTGACTTGTCTTTCCT